ATCCCTACTATCTTGTTTGCATTGTTTTTGAAGGATTGATATTAGCCATCCCTACATTTACTTTCTTTTATGGAAAGTTATTTCTTTACTTGTTTGCTTGATTATTTCAATAGACATAGGAAGGTTGTATTTATAACCAAGTTCTAAATACAATTAGGTTCCAACTGTAATATATATTGTTTATCTATTATTGATTGGTAATGCCTGTTTCACCCTGTACATAAGTTTTTAAAGGAACACCAAATTTCTGTAAGAAAGCTACCTTCAAGTGGTACTGATAACATCATTCACACTAGAATTATGATTTTTTTAAAATTACTACTAGTTATTAATAATACTTATAAGAGTGGATACTCCACTTGAAACTATGTCACTGTAGTGAAATTGGTTGACACCATTGTTTTGGTTTTTGAGTTATGCAATAAAAAAAGAAGCAGAAGAAAAAAGAATAAGAAATTCAAACTTTTTGCTATTGTTATAAAAGGAAACACTGTATAATATTGTAAAGTTCTGATGACCTACTGAGGAGATATTTAAAATACCAGTTTGATGAACAATCCGACCCATCCCTACATAGGCAGTGCTACTGCCTGCCTGAAAATGAAAAAGCTTGTTTCATTTACATTTTTTAGTTGAAATACTTTACAATGTTTTTTTGTTTTATTATTGGTAAACAATGCAGTAATACATGATAAAGAATTATAAGATTTATGACTGTACTACTGGAATTACAAGTATACTTGTCAGTTTTTAGATCGAAAGATTTGTACATTTTGGAAGTTTAGCATATTTAAAATCATTAGTTAACAGACTTGCATGTTGAATGTTAAATGTCACTAAATTTTAAGAAAAACAAAGTACAAACACTATATACATGTATATGTTTGTTCATTATAAATTTTCTCATCGTGATAAGAATTATGATTTCTTATTTGAAATACCTTGTAATTAACGTGTACATATACATTTGTGAATTAACTTGCATCTTGTTCATTCAATAGATTCAAACAGTTTGTAATCATGAGGAAAAACATTGCTTCTTAGTCATCAGAATAGATGTTCACTTTTCAAATTTCAGGTATAGTGTGTGTGTGTGTGTGTGTTACAAATTAAATATTGTGCCTTCAAACACTCCCAGTCTCAAGTTTTTATTTTTCTCAGTATAAAGTCACCCATTTCCTTTTACCAAATTTATAATAAAACTGCCACTAGGGAACTTCTTTTCAAAATCCAAAATAAACCAGCAGGCTTTAATGATACTAGTTTATAATATTGACAAATTTTCTTTGTAAAGTATTTAATTTTTGTTATTGTTTTTTGAAGTTGCCAATATTAAATTTCATAGACTGAAGTAAAAACACCTAATTTTCAGTTTAAATTAAATGCTTATGTTTCCAAAATGTGAACCAAAATTGAGAAAATCAGAATTGTTTTAAAGAACGTAAGCTGATTTTAGTTTATACATAGAAATTTTCACTTGTTTTATCTAGCTTATATGGGGTAACAAAAACAATATTACAAATACATTAACTCATTTGTAAATAAAGTTTCATGTTCTGAATGAGTATGATAGTATTAAAATGATTTAAGACCAAACATACTTTAATTAACAACTCCCTGTTATAGAAATACAACAAAGTTCATGTGGATGTGTACATGTTCCAAATATTAAATGTTTATGTTTAGGGCATCTAAAAATATAAAGTACAAAGTAATGAATTTATACCAACAATTGTAAAAGTGTGTTGTAAATATTAATTTTTATGGTGTAAACTCCTGATTTGCACATTTACAATAATGATAATGAATTTAGAATATTTTCTATCATTGAATATTGCTCTTGCACTTGGACATTTTGATATAAGGAGAAAAAAGTTTAAGTTTGTATTCTTTATAATTGAATGTGAGCCATGAAGTCCAGTCATATTTTTACAAAATATTATTTTCAGTGTTTTGTCTGTTGTGTATACAGTAGCACCTTCATAATTGCATTATTTGAATTACCATGTGTGTGTGGATTGCTATCTGTAGAATATTTATTAAGTAACTGGAGAGCTGTGGATTGCATGTATTTACACACACATCCTGAAATGTGATGTGTATCACATGTGCATATAATTTGCATTGTTAATATAACATGAATTGCTATATAGTAAAGTGTATTAAGGATAGGGAGTGTAATATTAAGTGTATTATATGTATTGTACAAATAGTATGTATCATTTAGTCTGCTACACTGACGTGTTCATTTTGTTGTCTTTGTTAATGATTCTCCTGCCAGCTAGATATCTACTATCAAATCCTTTTTTTTAATAAAAAGTCGGAGGTTCTTTCTTGTACTCATTTTCTTGCAGACTAACATTATCAGGTTCAAGCAATCACCTGACAAAATGTAACCAGTCTATTTAACATTAGCAAATAATGAAAGTATTCTACAAATGTGTGTGTGTTGTCATAATAGTGTGACCAAGCAAAGTATGTGTAGCATGTCTGTTGTATTTTAGGCTAGATTCCTGTTCTGCATAATTATTAATATATAATTATTAATTATATATGTGTTAAATAGATAGCTGTGTGTAACATGTACAGTAGTATCATTTGTATTGTATAATCAGACTGCTATATGCAACTGTATCATGTTTACTAATAGTATCTTCAAGACTGCAGTGTATAGCTATTTCATTTATATAAACTGGAGTGCTATTTGTATCATGTATTCAAAATTATAATCTGAAGATATGTTTTAACACCATTCGGGATTTCTACATCTGCAAGTATGGCATGAGTAATGTGTATATAAGTAATATGTGTAAAGTATGTATATAATTAAATTGGCTAGAATTCTGCGTTTATGAATTATATTGATTAAATCACAATGTAATCTACAGTGAACTATATGTTTTCTTTATAGTCTGAATTGTGTTGTATAATCTGTCTAAATATATTAGTGTTACATCTCCGTTCGTTCGTTAATTTTTTGTAAAACTTCTTACCGAAGTAACTTTACCGATACAAGTCCTTTCTTAAATAAAACTGGTTTATTTTTTCTGAATACAATTTTGTGATACACTTAATTTCAACAGTCGCTCTATAACAAACGCTATAATTCACAACGAACTTCTTACGTGCTCAACAATATTCTCTCTGTCCGCAGTTCAATTACTCATTCATTACATTGCTTCTTGGCTGGTCTTATATATATACAAGACTACCCCAATCTGGTAGTCTTCCGACATTTCATGAAGGTTCGAGAAGGAAGTGGCGTGATACAAGCGTCACGTGACCTGCATTGTCGTAACACTGCCCCTTCCTTAGTATTGTTCGTCCCGAACAATAGCATCTTACATTAAACCAATAACAATTAACAATAACTTAATTAAATGTACAGAATTACAAACACAAAATTACAATTCAACAAAGTCTCTTAATTTTACGAGACGTATCTTCTTTCATACTGATCTCTGCCTCGTTGGCTTCTGCTTTATATGGGGTTCATCTGCTTCATCAGGAAATGTCCTATCGTTGATAACAGTCACATCAGTGGTAGTAACTTCATCAAGAGCTTCACCGTTTCCCTTCTCAAAACTGAGTAGAGTTTCATCTTCGACGGTGGCTTTTTCAGGTGACACGT